CTAGGCATTCCTTCATCTTTCCTAAAGGAGAAGGGTTTTGCTGTAGCTTTGCTGAGTCATGGCATGGTTCACCTAAAGTGAATAGAAATAGTCTAAAGACTGAATAAATCTTGCTAAAAAGTAACAGTTTGGGGCATACAGTTTGCATGGAGGATGCTCTGTGAAGTAAAGCAACGTTTCCCTTTTCACAGCATTCTCTCTGCAACTGCCCATTTTCAGTCACCATCACCAAAGCTCCCAACCCTTGGCTTCACCCCAGACTTCTCTTGCTTTATCTATTTCTTCTCTAACGCCCTGACTACCTGATCTCAGCCCTCTCTCTGGGGCAGGCCTATCTGTCCCTCAGGCCTGCCCCATGCACTTCTTCCCCCACTCCTACCCCAGTGTCTCTGGTAAACGGTGGTAAGGTACCAAACTCTCGAAACCTTAATCCTTCTTGAAACTGCATTTGCCCTTCTTTCCTATGGGGGCCAAGCTTCCCCTGCCAAGCTCTTTAGTACTGAATGTTCTATGCTCTTTCCATCCCAGGAGCTGAAAAAGTTTTGATACAGGAATGTGAAGCTCATTTGGCCAGATGTAGACCATAGGGCTTCTTGTGAGCTGGATGACCCATAAGCAGTGGTGATGGATTTAATCACCACAGTTGTTGGAGCTGCTGTAGTAGTGTGGCTCTGGCACCCAGGGGGCTAACATCCCTGCTGCTCACCTCCCCTCTATCCCCTGCCATCAGTCTTAGTCACCAAAGGTGTCTGAACCGCAAATACAGTGTTGGGTAAGGTGGGGGAAGGGAATGGCAGCAGCATTAACCTCTGGGTTCTGGAGTTGTGTAGAGATGGATCATCCAGTCCATCAGAAGCTCTGTGAACCGGATGACCCACCTGTGAGGCTGGATGTTTGACACCCCTGCTTTAATGAATGAAACTTCAGCACCTTTTTCTGTCCCTACTGTTAAGTGTATCATTACTGCCATGATTGTGCTGAGGCACAAATTCTTGTATGAGTTTCTCAGTGAATCACTTTCAGAGCTAAACTGAGCCAAGGAATCCGGCCTCCAGTCCTGTGCTGTAAATGCTACATTTACTTTGTGTACCTGTCACCAAATACATTTCTGCTTCTTCTGCCTGCTTGCTCCTAACTCCTACTTCTCACCTGAGTTCCTCCTTCCCTCCCATCTCTCTCTCATCTCCATGCTGTGTCCCACCCTGTCCTGTATTACACACCAAATTCCTTCTCCCCTACCCTGGGAAGTGCTTCATCTGTAATGGCCTTGGCATACTTGCATGCATTTTTTTCTTTTTCTTTTTTTGCCTCTGCATTACCTTTTCCATGGTATAGTAGTGATATGAGCAAAATGTGTTGTCTCTACCCCGGTAGATCTTCATTCGTAGCACAGATTATGACCGGACCCTGATGAGTGCAGAAGCCAACCTGGCAGGCCTCTACCCCCCAGAAGGACTGCAAGTGTTCAACCCGAATATTTCCTGGCAGCCAATCCCTGTACACACAGTGCCTGACTCTGTGGAAAGGGTGAGTCATGTCAAGGGAAAATACTGGCAGGACAGACACTAGGTTCTCCTCCATCCAAGAGCCTTTCTTTTCAGTGTCCATGTTCATTCAGACCAGAGCTTCCCTCCCATCACTCCCTAGACCTGCCTTTCAGGACCCCTTGCTCCTGGGCCAAGGAAGAATTCAGGGTCTCTGCTCATTCAGCACATTAAATACAGCATCGCATTGGAAAGGAGATGCCTTCTCTTGGCAGACATACAGGGTTGGTGTGTGGTACAGTTATCAATGTCTGTTAGGAGGATTCTGTACTCAAATGTTTCAACCACCAAGCTCTTCTTTCTTTCTTTTTCTTTCTCTCTTCTTTTTTTTTTCTTTTGGCTCTGTCCAGCTGCTGAAGTTCCCATTGTCCCCCTGCCCACGGTATGAGCAGCTGCAGAATGAAACCCGGCAGTCAGCAGAGTACATGAATAAAACCAGGCAGAATTTGGTAAGTGAGAGTCTGTGTAAGGCAAAGGTTTCCAGAAACCTGTAGCAGGGAAGAAGCCAGCTTTACATAATCAGAGACAAGAGGGAGGGGTTAGAAAGTTCTGCTCTACAGATTAGAGTGTGCACTGTGTGGTGGGCGAGAAGAAGGTCCCAGTCTCTTCTCTGTCCTTGCAGCGGTTCCTGAAGATGGTGGCAAATGAGACAGGAATCCGGGATGTAACCCTCGAGTCTGTCTGGAGTGTATACGACACGCTTTTTTGTGAGGTGAGTTCATCTCAGCACCACCCCGCAGAGGGAGGGACCCAGTATCTTTGGCTAAATTGAATGGGATTAGGGATTCACTAGACTAGAAAAACTGGATTTGGTGGGAAACAGATTTGTATTGTACAGAAATCTTCTCTTTCTCCCCTCATAATTAGATATAATCTTTCACTTTCTCAGTAACCCCTCCAGATGCACATCAGAAACACAGCCTCTTGCATGGTTCAGAGGCTGCTCTGGGGCCATAAGAAATAAACATCTCTAACAGAAGTTACTGCAGTCCCAAATGGTTACTTCTCTGTGGGCAAGCTTGAGTTAAAGTCTAAAATCCATCCTGGCTTTTTCTTTTGGTTCCCTGCTCAAATCATTAAAAGCTCCCAAGAAATATTCTTGGGTCTGCCCCTTTCTCTGCTACTTTGGGCCATTCACTTGCTGCTCCATGCCTCAACTTTCCCAACTGTTAAGGATTAACTCTTCCTCCAGATTGCAGGAGGCTATCAGGTTTAAGTCATCATTGTTTGTAAAATGTTTTGAGACCCTCTCACTCAGGAGGGCCTTAAAAAAGTGTAGTATTATCTTTCGAATACTTCCCAAACAAAAATCATGTTAAGATGGAGTTTAGGTTGAAAGCACATAGCAATAACAAAGGGTTAAGTAAAAAAACAAACAAACATGTTAGCTGTATCCCAAAATAAACATTTTAAACCCACGAGATTTAGAGTTATTATTAAAATGAAAAGAAATAAAAATTTGTAAAGCTGAGGCAATGTACATTTAAAACAGCAAATAACCTTAACACTCTGCCTTGTAGTATGTCTCCAGGCAATAAAGTACAAATAAAACTTCTGCATTCTAGTGTGTATTTTCTCTGAGATGAGATTTAAACTGATTTTTAAAATATGTATTAGATGTTTTGTGCTTTTTACCTTTATGGTGCAACCTGTGGTCTCAGTCCCACTGGCACAATGTGGGATGGCAGCCATTTTGAAAGAGGCAGTGATGGCAGCAGAGGGGAGCCTGGGTGTAGGCTCCAAAACCACGTGCGCAACTAACATGTTAAAAAAATTAACACAAATGATTAACGCATTAATCATGTGCATTAACCACAATTGACAGCCCTATTAAAAACTGATGCAAGCATCTGTACAGAAACTCTCATTTCAGTTTAGTTTAACCTTGTAAATAACAAATAAACTAGATTAGATTAAACTGAAATCACATTTTGCCTATATTTAAGTCTGTATACCTGTGAGTCTCAACTAGGATGTTGCAGCACCCTGACGTGCTATGAGATCTTTTTAAGAATGTTAACTGTGCAAACACATACAAATGATTCACAAGATAAACTCAGATTTCCAATGTGAATCCATTGTGTCAAAAACATTCTGACTTGTGGTCTTTCTGAGCTTTTTGTAACAGAATTGCTCTTTTTTTTAAGTAAAAAAACAAACGAGTGACGGCTTAGAACGGGCATTTTTTGAGGCATGTATCAGGTGTAAAAACACTGGGAACCATTGCTTTGCACACATTTGCAGTGTTTGAAATAAATCCATTTAAGGACACACTTTCTTACGTAAACTGCAAGTTTGTGTGTTGATGACGATGGAGAGCTCTGATCCTGGGAAGGAGATCCTCCTGCTTCACACAGCAGAATTGTTTTGTTTGCTTTGAGTGTAAAATTCAGCTTTCCTAACTCAGGAACCATGACTAGTACCTCCACAACATAGATAGGATCCATGTTTGATTACTACAGCTTAGTCAAAACCTTCAGGGTTTGCCTACGCATAAACAAACACAAAGCAGAATAGCTCCAGGTTTTGGCAAGACCCAAACCATTAAATTACCTGAGTATCTAAATACTACAAAATAACATGTTTCTAAGGATTCTGCTTTAAACCTCCCTTTGTCAGCTCATCAATTAACTTAACTGAATAGTCTGAGTTTCACCATTATTTATTAACAGTGAAGGTCTGCCCCTTCTAGACTCAAAGATCTGTTCGCAAAGATTCCCTCTGGATTGTTTGTTGCATTCTTAAGCCTCTGGTTTCTGTCATCTTGTTTGTCCTTTTGGGCAAAGCACATAGTAGTGGCTCTTGCCATTCCTTGATTGTTTCAGACCCCCTTATTGGCATGAGTCTTGCTGTCATGAAGGAACGTTGATGAAACTACAGTTAGTAACAAATAAATTCCAATGGCAGAAACACTAGTGGCTTGCAGGTCTGTTCTTCTGCAGAAGTCCTCTTTGTTAACAACCTGCTTAGACTTTTTTTGGATGTAAAGGATCTAGAATTCAAAGAGCATTTCCTTGGCAAATAAAGAAATGGGGGCACCCTGAAGGAAAGCTCCTCCTTACATTGATATGTCAGGCCTGTACTGGAGACTGGGGATTTTCCTTAGTTAGTTTGAGCTCCACTTCTTTCTAACTCTCACAAGCAACACTATAAGGGAAAGACTTTGAGTAAGGCTGTCTTTTTTCACAGCTGAGGCAGGAGATTCCCCTGCCCCTCCCCCCACCACTAGCTCAAACCAACAAAGAGCTCCAAAACCAGAATTTCCTGACTGTTTAGTAAATGAATGCAGAAGCAAATTTACTTCCCAGGCTGCTGACAGGTACCTGATCTAAGCAATGGTGAATAGATCCGTAAGTGCTCAGCATAGTCCCTCTTGCAGTATATTGGCACATGCTCTAGAAAGGTGACACAGGAGAGTTGTTTACCTGTTTACCTTCTGCTGCAGTTCATCCATCTATCCAAGTATGCTGGCTGTGTACAAAGCAGATTCTTTGCCTGCCT